CCCCCCCCCCCCCCCGACAGCGATATATGTAATAATAGTGATATCTATGTTATTTAATACATACTGATCATATAGCCAGACAGAGTAGTGCAGACAATATTTTATACTGAGAAATTTTAATCATGCTCGGGGAACCAGATTGTCATATATGCATGTGTAATAAAAAATAAGCCCGCGCACACACATAATTCACATTTAGATTATGTTATACTTCAAGATCACAAAATCTAAGTTTACTCGAATAGCCACGCTACTAGTTTTTTAACAAGAGTGTCATTTTACAAATGCGTACAGATTTTCTTTCGAAAGAACAGACGGTATTTTCGCAAATTGTATTTTTTTCAGAGCATAGATGCAGAATCCATGCATAAAGGTCCATTTTAATGGAATTCCGTGAGATTTCTAAGACCCACCGTGAGACCTGGAGGTCAGTGCGAAAACCTGGAGACTATGCTCACAGTAGTGATGGGCGATACTATCAAAAAAGTATCGTAATCATTGATACTTACAAAAGTATCGATACTTTCGATACTCGCAAAAAGTATCGGTAATTCGATACCACTTGAGCCTGCAATGTTTTTGGTCAGTATTCCTGACCAATCGCTTAATACTTCATGAAGGCAACAGACTGAAGGCCCCCGAAGGCAAAAAATGTTGACATGATGCTGTTCTTAAACAAATACATGTGGATAATTAGCAATATATTTGAGGAGCAACAAATACATGTAGCTAATTAGCAATATATTTTGATATGTTATGTTCGATTATTTGGCAGGTACTCCAGTTAACGTTAGAGTATTCTTCGACTTGTTTTAAACATTAATGTTCTTGTTTTAAAAGTTATTTTACTAAATGGGAAAAAATGAGTATCGGTATCGATTTTGCTATCGGTATCAAACAAAATTCATTGTATCGGACTGGTATCGTATCAAAACCAAAAAAGCTGGTATCGCCATCACTAGCTCACGGGTAAACCGTGAGACTTGGCAGCTCTTGACCGGCACATGATACAGTTTTGTCCAATTGGTAAACAGGAAAATTGAACTTTGACACATGCTATATAATAATGAAATTTGCAATCAGCAACATATTGATATAAATTAATATTGACAGTTTGCATGCTGAGATATAAAAAAATATTTTATATATAAGTTCGAACATAAGGGCTATAACACACTACACTATAACCCTTACAAAAGCTGAATGAAGACATATACCTTCTCTACAATAGAGATCTGCCCACGTATGATATTTGCCGAATAATTACTCGCGACAGAAGTCGAAGTATGCACGAATACGTCATCTTGTATATACACAACCTGAGTAACATACAGAAATACAACATAGCAAGGTTATAATCCTGTGTAACATACAATAATAACATACTAAACAATAACATACAAACCTTTGGAGCGGCGATTTTTGGTGAATTTTCAATATTTTCTCTCTCAATCGCTTCGGCCATTATGATAATATTGTTGTTTTTTTGCTAATGACCGAGCGACCTTTTAAGGAGATTGGGCCTGAATCTAAAAATGCTGATTAAGCATTACCTCATTGTACTATTTTTAACTTTTTGTAATTTAAACCTAAAAATATAAACTTTCGGCTATTTTATTAATATAACCCAATACAACTACTAGAAATTCTTCATTTTTAACCATTTTATGTTCTTGTAGAAACAAAAATATTAACAATAGTCTAAACAATTCTGAAATTAAACCACTTTGCTAAACGAATTTAATTAGGGTTGGATATAAGAACATTTTTTCAAAAATAAAATGTTCTTATTTCTTATATTAATATAAGAACATTTTTTGCAATATAAGAACATTTTCAAAAACTTTGATGACGTCATATTATGACATCATCCAAAATCCTAAAATGACGATTCAACTTCAATTTTAGATGTTGCTGTAACGTCCTGGCTTTCAAAATTATAAAAAATAGTTATCACTGCTGTATTTATACGACTATTATCTGTATATCTTATTTTCAGGATGTCAAATAGTTAAAATTTACAACTTCGAAGTAGAATAATTAATGAGAATAATATAAGAAAATATAAGAACATTTTTGCCTTCCAAAAAAATATTCTTATATAATATAAGAACATATAAGAACAACTATAAATATAAGAACATTTGCCAACCCTGAATTTAATTAAAGACACCCCAGATTTGGGGGGTTCACCTTTCACGTGCCAGCTGAACAAGGAAGCGAAAGTAGAGAGCCTATATATTCTGTGGCCTAGCTTGCGGAGTTCGAAGAACAGAATACAGTAAAGTGTGTTTTCCTCGTTAATTTTTCGCTCGTTCTTGCTAAACATTTCAGATTTGCCCATGGCAAACTGTGATTCTTTCCTACGCGATAAGTTCAAACTGAAAGGGGTGAGTGGCTTGAATTTTTATTTTTCTCGACCGTGTTTACATGTCAATGATGTCATGACAATCATGACATAGCATTGTCTTTGATGCCCAAGAGCTTCAGTTCTGTTCTACAATTAATTAATATTATGTTCTTATATTTTATAGTATCCAAATAAATCCCAAGCATTAAGTGATGCCAAAACTGCCTTAGAACAATATAAAACACTAAAGCCAATTTTTAAAAACTGCTGTAAGTTATAATATTGAAATTTTGTGTTGTGGTTTTATACTAGTTTGTATATATGTACGTTATTATAAAAGCATGAAGAATAGACATTTTTAGGCGACACCATAAGTGGGGCCAACACAGTGGCAGATTGCATTTATTTTCCGCACAGCGGGGGTTGAGGACGGGTAGGACAATACAAAAATCTCAAAATTCGGGCAAAAATCACACTTAATTAAAGAAAAACATGTAGCTGTGACTAGATGATTTAAAGGGGGGGGGAGGGGAGTGAATAGGTTTTCGGATTGTTGGATTTCACAGAAAAAATTGTTTGGATTAACTTCGGATCAGGTGAATACATAGACGGATTTTCATATTTTTTACTGGGGTGGTGCCAGAAATTTTAGGGGGGTGAGCCGTGAGCAGGAGACTGAAGCAACACAAAGTGTCACCAAACCCCAGTAAGGTCTATTATAGATTCTAGGGGTGGAGCACTAGAGCCGCAAGGGGGAGTCTAGAGAGCAGAAAACAAAGTATCCCTGGAAAAATTTGAAAAAAATCATGATTTCTAGCTTCAGAAAAAAGTTTTTTGAAGTTGTCATATCAATGGATTTGGTATGCATGTCCAATTGTCTGTTGAGATTTGAGCGAGTTAAAGTTAAACAAACCTGTAAAAGTGTAAACCCGGCCAATACACAATATGCTTGTCCGATTGTCTGTTGAGACTTGAGTTAAATGAACCTGTAAAAGTGTAAACCCAATAGGCCAATACACAATATGCTTTTACTTTTATAAATCATTGACATTGTGTCGTTTGAATCCAAGTAGAATTTATGATGCAACTCCGATGTAAATAATATTTGGGACATAAAGATTAAATCTAGGCAAGACTATTTCCTAAAAGAATTAAAAACTAAAAATAATGTTTGTAAAAATTCCAAACTCCTTGCAAGCAAGCTATTTGCATGACAAGGCACTGCAAACTCTATTCAGGGGAGATAATAGAGTTTCAAAACTTTACAATTGCTCCAATAAACCAGTGAATGCAAGCGAGAAGCGATTAGTTTCAGAGTATTGCACTGTCTTTTTCTATTTGAGTGTACTCCTACGTTTATTTTGTATCATCAACACTCTGCATGTTGGAGTGGACTATTTAATTATTTTTTATTATGCCGAATATTGGGGGGGGGGTTGGTTGAATATTGGAGGGGTGGACATTTTGTTTGGGGGGTTATAGCTAATATTGGGGGGGGGGGTAGCAACCCCCCCCCACACACAAAATCCGTCTATGTCATCATCACCATAATTTCCTTCATCAGCGCCACCACCATCATCACCAGCACCATCATTCCCTTTGTCAGCACCATTATCACCACCTCCACCATCATTACCACCATCACGACCATCACCTAGGTTTAATAATAATAATAATAATAAATTTATATAGGCAGTGATATTCCTAAAAAGTTCAAAAGCATTTTACAAGAGTGGAGTAGTAAACATAATAATGATAGTGACTTAATGTGCAGTCTATGTTGCAAGTTTAAAAAATGAGGTATAAAATTACCAATTTAAAGTACATTCAATATTAGATATACTGCAGTATTAGAATTATATTAAAATTATAGTATTTAAAAACTACACAGCAGGGCATTTTTTAAGAATTCGTCAGTGGGGGGGGGGGGGGGGAGGAGGGGCATCTACAAAAAAGGACCATACTATACTGAGTGTGGAGAAATGATAGATGGTTGTTGGTAACAAAAAGTTTGGTGTAATATCGCATTTAATAGTAGGGGGGCCTGGGGGTGTTCTCCCCCAGAAAATGTTTGTATTTTTCTACCCCTAGGACTGCAATTCCTGCATTTTCTGAAACATATTTTTGGATATGCAGCACAATGAAACTCACAGGCCCGTAGCTGAGGGGGGCCTGGGGGGCAGTGCCCCACCACTCGGAAATAAAATTGAAATTATGCCCCCCCCCTTATTCCACATTTTTTGCCATTTAAAAAAATAGACAACGCGGCTTATCTAAGCTTTGAAAGTAAGGTTTTGCTAAATGACATTACCTTTGAAGATTTTCACAAAGCTTGGAAAATGAAGCCACGAACACTATCAGTATCACTGTGAGAGTCAGTGAGACGTTTGTATTAATATTTTGATTACTAACAGAAATTTAATATTCCATTAATACACTATTTAGTTTTGCGTTATTTTGGTTTTGGTTAAGCTTTAACCTACAACAGTAAAGCAAATCAAGTTTAATTATTTGATAGTACTTTAATATTACTGTAATAAACGCTTAATTTCCATTTTGAACGGTTGTGAAACATGATATACAGTACTACAGCGACCGTAGAAGATTAATACTTGCATGAGGCTCATTAGGGTAATACAGGATGTGCACAGGCTAGAGGCTCATAGTCATACTCAATTTTTGTATGAAAATAGATTGCTTGTGGCCTAAAATAAATAACCTCATTGTTAGAAGCTAGGCTAGATAGCAGACGGCTGAACTAACCCTATACAGAACTTTAAAGACTCACAAAATTGAGCGCAAGTATAATACTTTTACAGTGTAGAAGAACGTTCCGTTCGATCCCAATTTTTCTGAGCTGGAAAGGAAAACTAGCTGCTAGCACGAAAGTCAAAATCATCCCAACCCCTCTGTTACATTCTTTCTGCATTTTAGAATTGAGAGCCAGCTACGGGCTTGGAACCTCACCTTCAGTGAAGTACTTGCATGGACGCATGGTATGTTTATGTAGATACCACAACTTGGCCGTCACTCAGGGACCCAGGCGCAAATCACGTACTAAAAATAGTAACACTACAATTACAAATCATAATGAAAGAATTAATGAAAGGGCCCAACAAACACTAACAAAATGCCATTTCCGACCATCTAGAGACGCAAAATTTTCAAAATGTTTTCGCTCTGTGCCAACCATGGTGGCGTTTCGTGGGAGTTGGGCCCTCTAAGTTTATCAAGCTGGCTACGAGGCTGAATTGTGAGTCTATGCTATCCTTGAGTCAGGATGGATTATTACGAGAAATGTTGTTATCAAAATATCGATTACAGATATTTGATTATATACGATTTCAAATACTTCTAGTTTCGAAATCAATTGGGGTTTTTGTGGTGGTGGTGGGGTGGCGAACAGTATTCCCCCTGGGTTGGGGGCCCGTTGCCCCTGCTTCCTACACCCCCTGCGGTCACTAACTTGTTTAGCCGAGCCTTCCAAAAACTCAAATCTATAGGATCTGCGATATGCAATCCACTGGAAAATGTTTAAAATCTAATAAGGTATTTACAACACAATGTTTAGCATTGAAGATAAAGACAGGACATAAGATTCACAAAGCAAATTTCAGTTACTAGAATATCAAACATCCCTTCTAAATTCCATGTTTTGCTTATATTTTTGAGAAAAGGGACTTTGACTGGGGGGGGGGGTGCAAAATGGTTGAGTGTGGGGGCCACCATGAGGGGGGGGGAGTGGCTTTGCCCCCCCCCCAGTTATATAGCTAAAAAATGCCCTGCTACACAGTATTAATACCACAGTATTAAAGAAGTCAAAACTTCAATAAAAGTCAAGGTCAAAGTCTAGGCTTCAATAAAAAGCCAGGTTTTAAGATTTTTTTTTTTAAATACTTAGTAGAAGTCTTTCTGCTTCAGCCCCACTGGCATTGAGTTTCATAGCGTTGGTGCTGAAACAGCAACGGTGAAGAAGGTTCTGGTTAATAGCAGAACGGAGATTTGGCTTGCAGGAACATAAGATTTTATTAAGTCAGCAATATATATAATGGTGCTAATTAATCAATGGAGCGCCTCAAAAGTGATGACCAAGATCTTAAATTTAACTCTTTGTTCAATAGGCAGCCAATGCCTTGAACAAAGGTGTTACATGCTCATACTTTTTATATTGATAGATGATTCTAGCCGCACAATTTTAAACATATTGAAGTCTCCTGATGGCATATTTCGCGGGGTTGTCTATATATAATATCGAATTGCATGCAGTAATCTAATTATTTATGTGGATAGCCTATATGAGCTGTAAATGTTGTTGATCATATTTATCAAGAATTTTACGATACAAATTTTGGACTATAGGGTATTAAATTTTGTGTGTGCAAATTTCACGAGGTTCTTTTTTTACAATTGCGAAAATCGAGAAATCAAAGTCGCACGAAAGACAATATTTAATATGAATAAGATATTTGCCAACAACCACAAGACTACTGTTAATGAAAACATTTTCTCATTCTGCTGACTTCAAGTTGAGCACCCATGGGCGTACCGGAAGGAAAAAATTAGGGGGGCGGAAAGAAATTTGTCCAACTTTTCGGGATTGTGCCCGACTAGTACCTAAAAAATTTTTTCCGGAAAAATTATTTCGGCGACCTCGTGAAATTTGCGCCGCCAAACGTCGCCAAAAAAATTTCGGTCAGTGTACCATTTTAGGGGTCAAAAAATTTTTCCGGACATACTAAAATTTTTCGGAACATCACACAAATTTTCCAAAAAACACTCAATTGATACAAAATTGACTGAATTTTCACTAAATTGACAGAATTTGTCCCATTTATTTTTATTACAAACCAAAATTGGCCGACTGTTGATCGAATATTGCCCGACTGCCCAAAAAACTGGGGGGCTACCGCCCCCCCCCCCCCCGCCCGGTACGCCTATGTGACCACCATTATACAATTACTTTATGGTTTCCGTGTTTGGATGGCCTGATCCAAACACGCGGGAATGTTGCGAGAGTTAAGAAAAGCGAGCGAAATTACGAGCCGAAGGCGAGTGATTTTGCCCGCTTTTCTTAACTCGAGCAACATTCCCAAGTGTTTGGATCAGTCCATCCAAACACGGAAACCATAAAGTAATTGTTTTATAAAATAACAACAACACGGTATAGTCTTCCGTGTTTGGATGGCCTGATCCAAACACGGCTTTCGACCAATCAGAATACGCGTTATATACATGTTATTTTATAATATAATTTCTAGCTGATGTACTAATACTACTTTGTTGTATTACAGCGCTTCCTGATGGTCACAATAAAGAGCTACTCTGTCTTGATGGAACAATACCTGTAAATTATCGAGGTATATTTAACCTGCTGTAGTTTGTGAAAGAACTAAACATGTAAAAACACACAAGTCGTAACAAACCAGCAGTAGCAATGTTGTTTTAACAACTTGTCAACAGCTGGATGTGTTCGCACTAAGCAGTGTTGACAAGTTGACAAGTCCTGTTGCGAACACGTCTTGTTGACTAGTTATGGAATTTTTACGTGTTGGGTAACTCATGATCATGGTGTTTGGTGTTCAACTTCGATCAGGTCTATTTACAAATTACTGTAACTAAATCCCAAAATATTTTTAATTTGTCACAAAATACGAGACAAAAACGCACTGTTTCTTTCCAGTTGTTGTAACAAGTTCGCAACAAGCTGTACAGGTAAACTACGTGAAGTCAATTGGAATTTTCCTAATTACCTTTGCAAATGCAATATTTCAATGCAGAGAAACTCCTTTTAAATTTTCCTAACTTCCTGTTTTGGTTTCCTGATTTCTTGTTCTGTTTTGAGCGTTGTCATTGGTGGATTATTTTTGTTCGCCAATTACAACACCCAGAACAGAACAGGAAGTTAGGAACTTGTAACAGGAAGTTACGAACTTCTAACAGGAACTGAGGAAAATTTAGCCTGCGAATTCAGCTTGAGAGCCTGTTCGCAGGCTAAGGATAATTTACTTGATATTTATCAGTGGGCTTTTATCAACACTGCAAACTCCCTCAAAGCTCTGCCCTCAAAGGATATGCAAGGGAGTTTTTCAAATTTGCAAAGATAATGAGGAAAATTGCAATCAAATTAGGAACTTAAAAGAGGAACGATTGACGTAATTTACCATTATCAGACTTGTTATAAGGTTATTCTAGCAAGTCTGATACAATCATGATATATTATGGTGTGGCCGGAGCCTTATGTTTGAGGGGGGGGGACTGAACGCCTAAGGCATGAGAGTGGCTAGGGGGGAGGGGTCCGAAAATTTTTAAATCTAGAGTCCCTGAAATGCTTTTTAAACATTTTGGTGGTGAAATTTTGCAGAATTCCGAAGATTATAAAGTACATCAAAGACACGATTTTTTACCAGATATTTCTTCTTGGAACTAAATGAATTGCATGTATGGAAAAGTCACCTTGGAACATTAGAGGAGGGGTCCGTGTCACCTTATTTCCCCTCTGTAGCAGGGGCGTAGGAACCGGGGGGGGCAGGGGGGCATGGCCCCCCAAGTTTTGGCAAGTGCCCTTTTTCCAGGAGCAAAGTGCCCTTTTTGTGCCTGAAACATTTTCATAAAATTCGCAGTTTTTGTCCAAACGAAACTTTTGAAAACTTTAATCTAGGATTTTTCCCGAAAAATGTTTTAGTTTCCGAGAAAAATATCATGGAAATGTTGCATGAGATGCCATTTCTCAAAATTGCATTACTTTTCATAAGATTCAGAATAAATAAGAGTTCAAAATATTAACTAAATTTATTCTTCTTGAAACCATACATACAATCGTCCTTATGTTCGGTCGAGACTTGGTTACTCAGTTTTAGCTTCGAGAGTGTAATGTGTATCTCCCCTCCCCAATTTCTCTCAATTAATTTAGACTTTTTGAGAGAATGGTTTTTGTGGCGATTGGGGGGGGATGCAGTTACCACAAAAACCATTCTCTCAAAACCATTCTCTTCAGCTATATAATTTAATATTTACAGATTGTTTAATTAGATACATAGATAGATAAATTATCATAAAGTAAAATGATATTTTCATTGTTCCCCAGGTTCCACCTATAATATCCCTATAAGTATATGGCTCCAAGAGAAACATCCCTACATAGCACCATTTGCACATGTAGTGCCCACTGCTGAAATGGAAATTAAGCCAGGACGACATGTTGATGCACATGGAAGAGTCTATCTACCTTTTTTAACAGAGTGGAAATATGTATGTTTGTCTAAATCATTATTATCATCATCATCATTGTCATCACGATCATCATCACCACTATCATCACCATCATCATCATATCACTATCACCACCACCATCACCATCAATATCATCACTATCATTATCACTATCATCACCTGCTCCACCATCATCACCATTATCATCATCACCATTATCATCATCATCAATATCATTACCACCATCATCACCATCACCACCATAACCTTTGTCTAAATCATTATCACTATCACCACCACCACCATCATTATCATCATTACCACCATCATTATCATTATCATTTCCATATATTTTGTTCAGATTTAAGTAATGTTTTTTGTTTTAGAACAATTTAGTTGTATAGGTTTTTAACGCTAATCGTCGTTGATAAGTTTGAATATCATTACCCACTTTGTAATGCGACAGAAAATTGCAAAATTAGTGTCATTACCGGAACGAACGACGCAAACTAAATTCTGGGCATGTATGTTTATCTGACTTGTTTTGGTTTTCGGAACGAAAAAATGAAGCGGAACGTTTAAGTACCGTCATTGTTTGGGGGAACAAAAACTCTGTTCCCTTCATAAAGGAACAAACTATAGGAACAGCTCATTCCTTTCTACACTTCAGGAATTATGCATCCTATTTTTGGAACTAAAGTTTTAAGTTGCAAAAGAACGCGAGATAGGAACAAACATACGTTCCTATATTTTTGGAACTAAAGTCTAAAGGTTTGCTGAATAAACAACCTTTCCTCAGCAAAGTTTTCGAATATTTGTTCGGTATTGTATGAACTGATATTTCAATCCATGTATATTTAACAAATATAAAAATTTTCCGTGTTGATATAGAGTTACATCAACACGAGTGGAAATTGGGAAAACGAGAAATTGTTGTCGAGTTTTCCACCAAAATGTTTAAAAAGCATTTCAGGGACTATATATCAATACGGAAAAAATGTTTTATATTTGTTTTATAATATATAGCACAAAGAAACATAAAAAAATTTTCCGACGTTTCCGTGTTGACATTGAGTTATATCAACACGGCTCTTAGCCAATCAGCGTTCAGAATTTACAAAATTAATCTATATTATAATTAACAAATATAAAACATTTTCCGTGTTGATATACAGTTATATCAACACGAGTGGAAATTGGGAAAACGAGAAATTGTGTGGAAA